AATGTTCCATGGGCACTAGAGAAGAATGTGTATTCCATTGCTTTGGGATGGAATGTTCTGAATATGTCTGTGAAGTCCATTTGGTCCAGTGTGTCATTTAAAGTCTTTATTTCCTTGTTGATCTTTTGCTTAGATGATCTGTCCATTTCAGTCAGGGGGGTGTTTAAGTCCCCCACTATTATTGTATTGTTGTCAATGTGTTTCTTTGCTTTTGTTATTAATTGCCTTATATAATTGGCTGCTCCCATGTTAGGGGCATAGATATTTACAATTGTTAGATCTTCTTGTTGGATAGACCCTTTAAGTAGGATATAGTGTCCTTCCTCATCTCTTATTACATCTTTGTTTTAAAATCTAATTTGTCTGATATAAGGATTGCCACCCCAGCTTTCTTTTGGTGTCCATTAGCATGGTAAATGGTTTTCCACCCCTTCACTTTCAATGTGGGGGTGTCTTTGGGTCTAAAATGAGTCTCTTGCAGACAGCATATTGATGGGTCTTGTTTTTTAATCCAGTCTGATAGCCTGTGTCTTTTGATTGGGGCATTTAGCCTATTTACATTCAGGGTAACTATTGAAAGATATGAATTTAGTGCCATTGTATTGCCTGTAAGGTGACTGTTACTGTATATTGTCTGTGTTCCTTTCTGGTCTATGCTGCTTTTAGGCTCTCTCTTTGCTTAGAGGACCTCTTTCAATATTTCTTGTAGGGCTGGTTTCGTGTTTACAAATTCCTTTAGTTTCTGTTTGTCCTGGAAGATTTTTATCTCTCCTTCTATTTTCAGTGACAGCCTAGCTGGATATAGTATTCTTGGCTGCATATTTTTCTCGTTTAGTGCTCTGAATATATCATGCCAGTCCTTTCTGGCCTGCCAGGTCTCTGTGGATAGGTCTGTTGCCAGTCTAATGTTTCTACCATTATAGGTTACATATCTCTTCTCCCAAGCTGCTTTCAGGATTTTCTCTTTGTCTCTGATACTCGTAAGTTTTACTATTAGATGTTGGGGTGTTGACCTATTTTTATTGATTTTGAGAGAGGTTCTCTGTGCCTCCTGGATTTTATGCCTGTTTCCTTCCCCACATTAGGGAAGTTCTCTGCTATAATTTGCTCCAGTATACCTTCTGCCCCTCTCTCTCTTTCTTCTTCTTCTGGAATCCCAATTATTCTAATGTTGTTTTGTCTTATCATATCGCTTATCTCTCAAATTCTGCCCTCGTGATCCAGTAGTTGTTTATCTCTCTTTTTCTCAGCTTCTTTATTTTCCATCATTTGGTCTTCTATATCGCTGATTCTCTCTTCTGCCTCATTTATCCTAGCAGTTAGTGCCCCCATTTTTTATTGTACCTCATTAATAGCCTTTTTGATTTTGACTTGGTTAGATTTTAGTTCTTTTATTTCTCCAGAAAGGGTTTCTCTAATAACTTCCATGCTTTTTTCAAGCCCAGCTAGTATCTTTAAAGTCATGATTCTGATCTCTAGGTCTGACATTGCACTAATGTCTGTATTGAGTAGGTCCCTGGCAGATGGTACTACCTCTTGTTCTTTTTGTTGAGGTGATTTTTTTCATCTTGTCATTTTGTCCAGAGCAGAATAGATGAATGAGAGAACAAAATGCTAACAGGTTAACAATGTCCCCAGAAAATATACTCTAATCAAATCAGAAAAAGACCTGAAACCAGGGGAAAAAGGAAGGAAAGAAAGAAAAAAGAAAGAGAGAGAGAAAAAAAGAAGAAGATAAAAACAAACAAAAACAGAACAAAACAAAAAAAACAGAATATGATCAAATATGATCAGGCTGTTGCATAGATCAGTGCCACACACTAGATTTTGTTTGTATTTTGGTCTGTTAGAATAAAGTGCCTCCTAAAATTTTAAAGAAAGAAAGACTTACATATGTACACAATAAGGATTGATACGGTGAAGGGATGGAATATGACTGTAAAGATGAAAATTATAAAAAAATTTAAAAAAGGAATTGATAAGATGTTTGAAAAAAGAAAGAAGAGGATTAAAAAAAAGGAAAGAAAGAAAAAAAAAGGGGAGAGAATGTGATCAGGCAGGAGACTAGAACAAAGCCATACAGTAGAGATTTAGGGTATATTTTGATATGTTAGAAGAAACCGTATCTCAAAATTTTAAAGAGAGAACAACTTATATATATATATGCCAAAAATAAGGGTAACTACTATGAAGGGATAGAATATGACTCTAAAAATGAAAAATAAAATTTTTTTTTTAAAAAAAGGGATTGATAAGATGTTGGTTGAAAAAGGGAAAAAGAAAAATTAAAAAAAAAACAGTTAAAAAAATTAACTTTGAAAGACTAATGAATCATGGTAAAAAAGCCATGAATTCTATGTGCAGTGTTCCCTTCCTGGTGTTTTTGAAAAAGATTCCCCAACGTGGCCTTTCCTGGATGTCTCTCTCTCTAATATCACACACACGTATACAAACACATTCTAAAGACTTTATTGTACATTTTTTGACATCTGTATCTCTTAAGGCAGTTATTATATTCCATGTGGTGTTTTGCTTGGACTTCTGTTTGCATATATGTTACTAGATTGAAAATTATTGGAAGGTAGAGAAATCTCTTAGTTGTTTTTATATTCTCAACAGCCTAGGATAGTGCCTTGAAGGTAATAGGCACTTTTAATAGGAAGGGAGAAAGTGTTGCTATTCCATAACTTAAATAGCACCTCTTCCATTGAAAAAGATTTGTTTTTAGGGCGCCTGGGTGGCTCAGATGGTTAAGCATCTGCCTTCGGCTGGGGTCATGATCTCAGGGATTGAGATTGAGCTGGGATTGAGCCCCACATCAGGCTCCCTGCTCAGCAGGGAGTCTGCTTCTCCCTCTCCCTCTTACTCCCTCTGCTTGTGCTCTCTTGCTGTCTGTCAAATAAATAAATAAAATCTTAAAAAAAAACAAAGATCTGTTTTCTCAACAATAATAGGAAACCCTGTGCGGGTGTTTGGTTGAATTCCATCGAGGGACTGTGGTAGTTTGCTTTATTTAATTAATTAATTTATTTAGTTATGTTAGTCACCATACAGTACTTCATTAGTTTTTGATGTAGTGTTCCATGATTCATTATTTGCGTGTTTTTTAAATAAAAATTTTACCATGCTGGATATAGTGACTATGTACTTCAGTTTCTCAATTGTTAAATGAACTTAATAGGAGTACGTAACTACAGAGGTTTGGGGATTAAATGAGATCATCTCTGAGTATACAAATACATTACCCCAAAACTTTATTGAGTTTTTATTATTAATAATCACAGACTTCACAGGGGTGAAAGACAATAGCAGTCTTTTATTTTTATGATGTGTATCATAACCTATAAGACCTTGCATTCTCTGGGCTGCCATGTTAAAACTTTATAAAAGCTAGAAATTTTATGAGTTAACAATGGCAAGTAATTATTCATTTAAGAATTAGTTTCTTGAATTTGATCAGAAGATGGACCTAACTTCATCTGTTGCTGATTATTATCATAACAGAATGTGCTGTTGGGATTTTAGCCAAGACACTAAGGTACAATAGTGTGAAATTCAAAAGTGACATTTGTCAAGAACCAGTTAGAGGCTCTAAAACACGTAAGGACACTTACGGGTCAAGGAAGAACATTTTGTGAGGATTCTTCCAGAAAATTACGCTATGGCTTCTTTTACCACATGGGAGAAGTAGAGGTGCATGCTCCCTCACTTGATATCTAGTGAGGGGAACTTGAGAGGGACCATTTAGAGATTTAAAGAGTTCTCTTCAGTTAGGGGGCCCAGAGGACTGGGGTCTGAATCCCCTAAGAAATCCAACAAGGAGAGAACTATAGCTGGCTAACTGCTCCCATCGGCAAAGCTATCAGGCTCCCTGCTCAGCGGGAGGAGATTATGACTCTGTCCCTTTTCATGACCTCTTCTCCCCTTCCCTCACTGCCATACTCTCTATAGTAGGGATGGGGAAGAGAAGCTGGGACAAGGAAGGCAGACGCCATCATAAGTGGTCCTGCCAAAAGACCTGTCTGATCATGTTTGAAGCTGACTCTCTTCTCAGATGCACTTTTGTGGGTTCTTCAGAGTCTCACCTCAGAGACCTTCTGGCTCCACTGACAAGAATAATTCATTTTCCTCCTGGCTTTCTTGCTGTTACTTAAAAACCCAACTGTTGTAGCTTCATTGTCCTTGTAGGCAGTATATCTGGGCAGGAATCAAAACAGCTCCAGACTGCCCCTCTCCTGCACTTGGCCTACCTCTGATGTACAGGAAACATTCACATTGCTTTGGCCTGACAAATGTGGGAGCGTAGACAAATTCTAACACAATCACCTCCAAATGATTATAATTCTATTTCCTCCCCCTAAGCGTTAACTACTATCCTGACTTCCAGTGGTCATCATTTCTTCAGTTCGACCACCTAGGCATGCATTCCTAAATATAACTCATTTTTTAAAAACGATTTTATTTATTCATTTGACAGAGAGAGACACAGCGAGAGAGGGAACACGAGCAGGGGGAGTGGGAGAGGGAGAAGCAGGCCTCCCGCTGAGCAGGGAGCCTGATGCAGGGCTTGATCCCAGGACCCTGGGATCATGACCCGAGCTGAAGGCAGATGCTAACGACTGAGCCACCCAAGTGCCCCAATATAAGTCATTTTTTAAAAAATTACTTTCTTCCCGTAGACTAGAAATTTCTTAAAACCATAGATAACAGGTTAGAGACTAATAGTGTTTGGGTCATAGGAGAGTGATTTGATTAAGAATGCAAACTTCTCAAGAATTCAGTTAAACACAAATCATTGCTGTGCTGGTTATAATTAGTACTGGCAAGTCCTTTGAGCTGTGGTTCAGATTTGCTTCTAATTTATTCCAACTCCCTCCCATTCCAAAAAGTAATAGCTTTTTTTTTGCACTAATATTGTTCTAAATATGTATTATATCCTATGGGATAAGGACAAATGCACTTTGTCATATCATAATGTCCCTTTTGTCCCTCTTTTACAGCATGGGTAAGTTCTCTGTCCATGGGGATGATTTTCTTTTGCTGCCCAATAGCCAGTGTCTTCACAGACATGTTTGGTTGTCGGAAGACAGCTGTTGTGGGTGCTGCTGTTGGATTCATTGGACTCATGTCCAGTTCTTTTGTAAGGTAAGGACTTGGCTCTTCATGCTGCTTTTCAAGAACTGTTAGATACCATAGAGTCGTTCCTTCAGAAACTGCTGTTTACAAGGAAAAACCCTCCTTTTCATTGCATAAGCTTTAAGCAGTATGATTTAAACAGAGTTATCCAGAGCAGCAAGTCAGAGCTTCATAGTTTGAATGTTTTTGCTTGCAGCTCTCTCATGTTTTTCATTCAATTTCGTTTTTAACCCACTGGTCAGAAGCTACCAAGCTTTCAGAGGTGCACGGGGAAATGTGATATAAATTCCAGGTGTCGAACCCACTTTCCTATAGTTCAAGTTCTGCCTTCTTAGGAGAGCCTTCTTTAGCAACTCCAGGTCACATCAGTATTCCTGCTCAGAATCCTTTTTGCACTAACATGATTGTTATTTACTGACTTACACTGCACTTCTTCAGTTGTCAAACTTCAGCAGTTGGAACGAGCTGTTACTGAGGTGAAAATTTAGAAGTAAAAGAGGCTCAGTAGCCGTGAAAATGCCATCGTTTGTGCTTATGTGCTTTACTCTGTAGGAGAGATATGAAGCTAATATCACCCAGCATTTAGTATTTACAATAGTGTGCAAGAAAGTGTTTCTTTTTTTTTTTTTAAAGATTTTATTTATTTATTTGAGAGAGAGAGAGAATGAGAGATAGAGAGCACGAGAGGGAAGAGGGTCAGAGGGAGAAGCAGACTCCCCGCCGAGCAGGGAGTCCGATGTGGGACTCGATCCCGGGACTCCAGGATCATGACCTGAGCTGAAGGCAGTCGCTTAACCAACTGAGCCACCCAGGCGCCCAAGAAAGTGTTTCTGATTTATACCCATGGCTGTCTGGTTTTCCAACTGACAGCTTTACAATACTGTGGAATAATTGTTCAGATATAGATGTTCATGATGATACTGTGTTGTCAGTACTATTTTTAACATATGCTTTGAAAAAGGCAGAGAAATGTATAATCTAAATAAGATAGCACTTTAAGAAGTAAGTTGCAGTTACGAGGAAAAACTGAGGCAGAATGAATAAAGTATTATTTATATTTTGTTCTATATTATTATTTGAGGTAGATGTCTTGTTTCACTAAGCAGATTATGAGAAGGGCATTTTCACATTTTTAATATTTTTTTTCACTAAGTACCTGGAACATATAGCTGCTAAATATGATATGGAATAGAGTAGAGATTCAGTAAAGGGTGATCAGAATGAGGTAAAATTAATTTGGGAGAGCCTAGGAGTGACTCTTGAGACCCTTTTGGAGATTGTGCTAGCTGTGGGTGACTAGAGGGGGAAGGGCATCTTAGAGAGAGGATTGCCAACATGCCTTGATTTTATCAGATGCTAGAGTTCCTTATGATTACCTTAGCATATTGCTAGACTAGTATTATTGTTCAAAATTTAATTATTAACCAACATTATCTGTGTTAGTTTCTAATAAATAATTTGCCTTTACTACTGATATATAGCTTTTTGAATGGACTTTTCAAAAGAAAAAACGTCAGTTTTCTCTTACTCCTTACCTTAATTGTTTCAAAGAATGTAATAATATGATCTTTGACCTTCATAAGAGTTGTGTAATTATTTTTGGTTAAACTATAAAATTCTTAATCCTTTATTACTCTTTTGAGGTCTATATGGCCTTAAAACTTACAAGGTGGGATCACTAATCACACACTTCATGTAGTCTTTCTGCAATCAGAGTATCATTTCTTGTTATCTTGCACAACACTGAGAACTGCGCAATACAGGGGCGAAAGTTGGTGTACAGCCCTTAGGCCAACAAAAATGAGGTACAACTGCTTCTCTGTGCAAATGTTTCTGACATAACCTTGGGGAGAAAGTTTCAAATGCAGCTTTTCCTTTGAATAGATTGCTTGGTAAGTGCCTGGGAAATCTCAATAAAAATAAAATAATGAGTTTTCATTGTAAAAGTATAATTTTTGAAAACTTTTATTGAGACAAGGTTTTTTGTTAGTTTCATCACTGTTGGGTTTGCTGAAGCCCCTCCCGGCACTGTCCTTTCAGAGCTGTGCACAGCACAGCAGTTGCCGCCGAGGGCTGCTTGGCTCACCTGAACTCCATGGAGAGAGGAAGGAGGGACAAAATCTCAGATGGCCTTCCTGGTCATTTTTCACACACTTGAGGCATTTTATTATCCATTCAGGTTGAATTAGCATCTTTTTAGTGTCCTATTCTTGATGTATTAAGTTTTTCACCTCTTTTTGGTAAGTCTTTATTTGTATATGATAGGCTAATGAACTGAATACCCATTTTGCTATGAGGTTTTATTCTGCCAAGCACTTGCTACAAATAACGACCCGCTCCTCTCCATCTTTTTCATCTTTACACAGCTCCATCGAGCCTCTGTACCTCACCTATGGAGTCCTGTTTGCCTGTGGCTGCTCCTTTGCCTATCAGCCTTCACTGGTCATTTTGGGCCACTATTTCAAGAAGCGCCTCGGACTGGTGAATGGGATCGTCACTGCTGGCAGCAGCATCTTCACAATTTTGCTGCCTTTCCTATTACGGGTCCTGACTGACAGTGTGGGCCTCTTCCACACACTGAGGGGCCTCTGCATCTTCACGTTTGTTCTCTTTCTGGCTAGCTTTACTTACCGACCTCTTGTTCCAAATGCCAGAGACAAAGAGAGTGGAACCAAAGGAGGCAACAGATTCTCCCTGTTTTCCAGGAGGAAGTTTGGTCCTCCACAAAAAGTTTTCAATTTTGCCATCTTCAAGGGGACCGCTTACGCGGTTTGGGCAGTTGGAATACCACTTGCACTTTTTGGATACTTTGTGCCTTATGTTCACTTGGTGAGTATGCTTCTTTGGCTTTGCTGGTAATGGATATTACTATTTCATACAGGAAAAGTTCTTAGAAGAGCAAGATAGATCACACTGAAGTTGGCCTTGCTTTAAGCATTATCCTGGTTGTAATTCAGGGACTCTTGAAATTCACGGTCCCTTAAGACAAGGTCAACATATCCAGCAGATCATTAAATAGAGGGTATGTTTCGTGGTATGCATTGGTATTTAAAAATTGCCAAACCTAAATAAACAGAAACAACTTTAAAAAAATTTTTTTTAAAAAAAAGGAAGGCTAAAATACTAGAATGGATGTCATCAATACAAAAACTTAATAGGTCACGTTTTCTCTAAGTAGCTTACAAATCATAATCAGGGACAAAGATGGTACAGCGATTTTGCCAACATCAATTACTTTTTGACAAAAGTGTATAGGAATGAGGTAAACTGTAAAAGCTAATGGCCTTGGCACAAAGAAGCATTACATCTACTTGTGGGATACTTCTGGGAAAATGGGAATTCTTTTCAGAAGAATTATTGAAATGAGAGAAATGGTAGCAAGTTCCAAATGTGGGGAGAACAAGGTTTCCCAGGAAATTAAGCACTCAAGTGCTCAAGCAATTTATATTGTTTACTTCTATCTCAAAGGCAAATTTAAGCCTCTTGATACTGATACAAGAATTAGCAGTATCTGAAGTATTTGCCCCAGCAAAATTTGCTCAAAGTGCTTATTTATGTTTCTTCCTTTTTTCTTACTGTTGTGGCTAAAAATGTATTTACAGTTCAACATGGTTGATAAATGATAAAAATGATGCTAGGATACACTTTTATCTGTATACTATGTGTATGAACTTGGATCTTTTCTAGCTTTTAGTCTACTTTTGGACATTCATGCAATTTTAAAGTTATGGTGGAAGTTGGTAACAGCTCAAGGAATTCTGGGCTCAAGGAGTCAGCTAGTAAACTATGTCATCAACTCTTTGTGGGTTCCTATGCTGAATTCAGAAAGGAATTAAGTCAAGGAAACAGGAAGAGGAATGGTAAGCAGTCCTGGATCTAAGAATAATTTTGATTTCTCAATTCCTCTTATTCTCATTTTTGTACAAGTGTTGGAAGAAGCAACTGGGATGATCAATGGGAGGCAGGGAGAAGGAATAGTTTTTAGTACTCTGAGTCACTTGGCATTTTGCAGAGACTGAGGTACTAGGTAAAATGCCCTAGTATGTGACCCCTGTCACATATGTAGTATGTGGCTACATCTTGACCTGAAAGTTCATTTTCACACTTTTAGGAAGGCATATCTAAACCATCTGAAGCTATTTTTTGTTTAGAATATAGATCCATTGTTGGAAGGGTCTACTTTATCAACTATCTTTTCTGTAGCTTTTATGGTTAAAACATTTGTGGTGTCCTTCTCAAAGATGAGAAGATTTTTAAAAAATTTTTCTTTGGTGCTACAAAGTGAGCACATGCAGAGAAATCAGTATCTCAGTTTTGTTAATACCAGACATTTGCCTAAAGACAAGGGGTGGGTGACTGTGTAGGTATTTCTGGTAACATATTTATAATTTGTAAAATAATTTCACATCTGTTATTTCATCTGACCTTCACAAAAAACCTGTGAAGTAGGCAAAATAAACAGTATTAGCCCACATTGTACAGGCTGGAAAACAGATCCATTATTAGCCAAGATGTTAAGCGACTTCTGGTTCCCATTCAAAGATGTTAAGTGAAATGACTCTGCCTAAGGAAATTTAATAAATATGTTATTGGTCATCGTCGTCTTCTTAAAGTAAATCAAATTTCATAATGAAGGATGAGTCAGACAGTATTATATTATTGTCATCAGGAGGCTGTAAATCAGCTAGTACACAGAACAGTAAGGTCTCTGTTAACTCTGATAACAAACCAGGTCTTTTTTCTGCTTTCTCTCCTTCCAGGCATGTTTTAACAAAGGTGTTGATATTTTTCATTTTTGCTTTTCTCTTTGTCAAACTGGTAGAGCCCTGAAAGCCATGTTGGAGAGGAAACACCAGACAGCTAAATGCCACGTGGGCTGTTTAAATCCTGTGTTTGATGGGTGCACGGAGTCTGTCACTGTGTTGTAAATTACAGTTTGGATTATGGATACTTAACTTAATCCAGGCTTCATGGATCCAGGCTTCCCTTTAGAGGAGGAAAAGGTGTCTCCCATCATCTTTCCAAACACAAGTAGATGATGTTCAATTCATATTAAACCCTTTATTGGGTGTTGAAGGGAATACACACGGGAGGTATAAGAACCTATCGAAGGAGCATAAAATCTAGTAAATGTAATAATAAAAGCTGTTATAGTTGGTAAGTTTTACATACGTTATCTTATTTAATCTTCACAGCAGTGGAGTACTTGTGATGTAACATCTTCATTTCACTGATGAAAAGACTGCGGAACTGAGAGATTTAAAAACTTGCCTGGGGTCACAGAAATAGTGGTTGGTAATTACCGGTGTGGCACTTTTATTCCAGAGGCAGTGTTGTATCTTGGGTAAAGGTAAGGGCTCTGCAGTTAAGACAGATCTGGGTTTTGTCCCTGACTAGTTGCAGGACCTTGAGTAACATCTGTGAGAATCAGTTTCTTCATCTATAAAATAGGGATAAACCTAATTTTGTAGAGTTGGTGTAAGGATTAGAGAAAATGTCTGTAAAGCATCTATCCAGTTCTGGTATAAAAATGAGAGTTATGTTAATTTAAAGACCATGTGATTGCCAATTGAGTGGTTTTTAAGTGAGGGCTATAAAAGAGTCAAAGGAGAAAGATGATACCCATTTGGAAAAGTGGTTAGTAAAAGCTTCACAGGATTGGAGTTGGGCCTTGAGCATGAAATTTGGTGTTAAATTCAGATTCTTACTTAATCAACTAGGGAACTAATTTATCTAGGTCTTCTTTGAAGATTCAGAAGTACAATGAAGTGATTAAGTTAAAAATTCTGAGATTTTTGCCTGTTAGACTATACATGATGATTTGAAAGAGAATATGTATGCTTTGTGTCAGTCTTGCTTTTAAAGCAGGGTTGGAGGTTTTGTCTTTTAGTAGTTGACTTTTTTTTTTAAGATTTTATTTATTTATTTGACAGAGAGACAGTGAGAGAGGGAACACAAGCAGGGGGAGTGGCAGAGGGAGAAGCAGGCTTCCCGCCGAGCAGGGAGCCCGATGCGGGGCTCGATCCCAGGACCCCGGGATCATGACCTGAGCTGAAGGCAGATGCTTGACCAACTGAGCCACCCAAGTGCCCCTAGTAGTTGACTTTTAAAGATGAGGAATCATATTGCTTCCTGAAAGCTGTCACATGATCTCTCTTTTAGGCCTACCCACTTATAATCTCCACTGTGAGGGTACAAATCTTATAGATCAATTTAGGTGAAGCCCAACTTTCTAAATAACCATTGTTAGTAGCATCTGCTTCAGTTTTTATTATTTGCCCCTTTTGCCTGAGAGTCATTTTGCTTTGTTTCTGGGCTACATCTTTATGGCTTCTCCTTATCCAGTTTTTCTTCATTAGTTTCTAGAAGCATAATACTCTCTCAGTTTTCCTCCTACCTCTCCATCACCCCGTAGTATCTTTGCTGGTTCCTTTTTCACCCTGACCCTTAATATCAGTGTGTCCTAGAGCTTCTCTTATTCTACTTATTCCACTGGTGATTTCATCCAGTCTCCTCAGTTCAAACATTGTTATATGCCAGTGACTCTAAATTTGTATTTCTCACCCAGACCTCTTTCCTAAATTCTCTACCAGACTTTTTAGAACCAACTGACTACTTAATATTTCCACTTGCATGACTGTTAGGTGTTTCAGATATAACATGTCCAACCCTGAAGTCCTGGTCTTACCCCTTCACAAGGCTGCTCTGTCCCTAGCCATCCCTGTCTCAGGAGGTGGCAATTTCATCCTTCTTAAGTAATCAGGCCCAAAACCTTGGAGTCATCTTTGGCTCTTCTTCCTTTCATACCACACTCCTGATCCAGTCTGGAAATTCTGGTGGTTCTCCTTTCAAAATATATCCAGGATCTGACCACCTTTCATCATCCTCACTACTAGCCCATAGACCAGGCCACCATCATCCCTAGCCCGGATCTGTGCACTTGCCTTGGAACTGGTCTCCCTGCTAACTTCCCTGCCTGCTGTAGTCTGTTCTCTGTATAGAGGCCACCAGTGTTCTTTCAACACATAAATCACTCTGCTCAAAATCCTTTGTGGGCTGTCCATTTCTCTGAGAACAGAAACTCCTGTCTGTAAGGTACTCTATCATCTGGCTCCTCTCCCTGTCTGCTCTCATCTTCTGTCTTTGCCTCCCTTGCTTCTGCCACACTGCCCTGTTTGCTAGTCATCTTTTTTAAAGATTTTACTTTTAAGTAATCTCTACACCCAACATGGGGCTTGAACCCCATAATCCCAAGATCAAGAGTTGCACACTCCTCTGACTGAGCCAGCCAGGCACCCCGCTATTCACCTTTTACTGAGGCATACCCTGACCACCTGGTTAAAACTCCCTTCTTCCCTCTCCTCCCTCATAGCATTCCCAACCCTGCTCACACTGCTTTTTTTCTTTTTCCATAGCACCTAATACCTTCTAACATATTGCATAATTTATTTTTATTATGATTATTTGCTGTCTCTATGTATATCTCTGCTAGGATATAAACCTCATGAGGCTAAGGATCTTTTTGTTTTGTTCAGTGAGAGATCCCAAACACCTAGCACAATGCCTAGTGCACAGGTAAATCTAAAGCAACACTCTATAAGCAATACTCATTTTCTCACCATTTCAGTCTTTAAAATTCTCTATTTGATGCCATAATGATTTTTTACATTTTACACATTTATACATTTTTCACATTTTATAGGACCTGATGGTATTCATATTCATTAAACAGTTAATAACTCTGCAAACCTCAGAATAATTAACACTAATGCCGTCTGTTAATGGAGTAAAGAATTGATGTTTTGCTTTGACTCACACCTTTATTTGCA